CTGGGGCACGTTGTCCGTAAGCAGCCGTCTTGGATCCACAAGATCGCTCGCAATCCGCTGCTGATATCTCTCCTCAAATGCCTCAAGGTAAGCTGATAATGTGAAAGATCTCTCAGATATGCCTCTTGTAACCTACAGTATGCATATGATAATTTGTGTGTTACAGACAGACACAGATGTTGTGGTTCTGATAACTGGAGTCCTGGTGCTCATCACACTATTACCCATGATTCCCCAAGTTGGCAAGCAGCATCTCTATGAATTTTTTGATATCTTTGGCCGTCTGGCTTCTTGGAACCTGAGAAACCCAGGTAAGAGTTACTAAGCATGCAGATACTGTATGACTCAGTTATGCAATATTTTTTTTATCCCTGAGGTATATATTGAAAGCCTCTGGATGGTTTTAGTCTCCCACAGAAATCCAAAAATATTATGAGGCATCTTATTACAAATGATTTAATTTGTAATGAGAAGCCTCATAATATTTTTGGATGGTTAACTAGCTGTATGATCAATCTCTGTTGACAGGACACGTCCCGGAGGTTTATCTCATCCACCTGCACGCAAGTGTCTACTCGCTCTTCCACCGGCTGTATGGGATGTATCCCTGCAATTTTGTGTCTTACTTGCGCTCCCATTACAGCATGAAGGAGAACGTAGACACTTTTGAGGAGGTGGTCAAGGTGAGCTGTCAGTCATACAGTTGCTTGCCCAGGAGGTTTGCCAAATACATGAGATTTAAAATATTGCATTCAATCCATAATGATTTTCCATAGAATTGTATTATTGGGGCATCCATAACCGGTAAATGTCAAGCTTCGAAAATGACAAGTACCTATGCACTAGTGGTTATGACTAATGGCTTATTAGTGATGGTGTGATTTTAGTCAAATATAACTGATGGTGTTTTTGTTGTATTTATGTCTGTGTATATGTTACAGCCCATGCTTGAACATGTCAGAATACATCCCGAATTAGTTACCGGAACCAAGGACCATGAACTAGATCCCAGCCGGTTAGGCAATACTGACTCATGTCACTTTTTTAAATGCATAAACCATGTAACAGTCACCCTTTATCTATCATTTGGTCTCTTTTCTCTCTACAGGTGGAAGAAATTTGAAATCCACGATATCGTTATTGAGTGTGCCAAAGTCTCTCTGGACCCAAAGGAGGCGTCCTGCGAAGAGGGCTATGCCAGCATGCCTGAGCATTTCTGTGCTCATCTACAACAACGTCCGGCTGATTGCACTGCCAGCCCTTTCGGTGACTTCCACAGTAGCTACGGTAACACTCTCATCCTGTATGAATTACTTATTCAAACTTAGCATACAGCAAAATAGCACTTTTCAATGTTTTTTCTATACTAGCGATGGTGAAGTGGCTATATAAATAGATTTATTATTTAGAAAAACGGTTTAGCTGCTATCAACCGCAAGGTCATGACTTTAGTTTTATGGAATAAGTGATAAAATGTATATCTTAAATACACAACTGAATAAAAGCATATTTATTTATTTAGTCATTTATCAGACGCTTTTATCCAAAGCG